TTTTCTGTGTGGGGCAGCCTCTGAACTCGGGTGGGTGGGGGGTCGAGTCTCTCCAGGGAAGGTGTTCCTCTCAGGGGTCGGCACACCGCCCATCCTGCAGACCAGCCCAGCACCCCATCGCTCTCTCCGCCCCCCATCGTCCGGTTACCTAGGCAAAGCCTCTGCGCCTGGAAACACGTTCTGTCGCTCCGGCTCGTGGCCGCTGGGGCCGGGTGCACAGAGCATCGGGGTTGTAAATTAGGAAGAAATAACTACCTCTGTCAAAGCCCTTTTCTTTCTCCGGGGCAGACGAAGGGAACACCCCCGTGTTCCCCTCCCCGTGGTGAAGTGTGTGGAGGAAACCGTGAAACACACCATTGTGACCCGGGCTCCTCCGCGGAGTTTCCAACCTCTGGTATGGGGGCGGAGGTTGGGCGGGGGCAAGAGAGGTGGAGGAGAGACTAGCAGAAAGGGAAAGACAGAGATTCTCAGAAAGATCGAGGGAGTCGAGACAAACCCCGGGGGAGAATTTCTGTGAGCGAGTGCTGGGTGCCGGTTGGGGGTGGTGGTGGTCTGTGGAGGGAGAGAGCTCTGGCCCTAAGAGCCTTTGGTTTTCACGTTATACTTATCTTATTCGGTTAAAACAACTCTAATAAAGTAATTTCATTCATTGTGTTCAGTATGCGCGGTGGGCAGCTTTTCTTTTCCCAACTCGGTTCTATAAAAACATTTCCCGGCTGTTGGACAAGGATCACTAAGAATTGGAACAGCGAGGGAATGGCTGAACCGAGCCCTGTGACCTCTCTCCCAGCACCCAAGGCCCTAGGACAAGCAGCTCTAGGACACTGATGACCACACTCCTCGCGGCTCTTCCCTTGGGAGAACCCGGGCACATAAACAAAAGGCCACCTCCAAGAACGTTCTTGGAAATCAAGGGACCAATGATCATGAGCTCCCTCATGACTGCCGGAAGCCTCCAACAGGTTCGAGAGGTGCCTTTGAAAGCCAGTCTCGGCAGGCTGCGCTCATCTGCTCATCTCTCCCTCTCACCACCGAGAACTTTCCTTTCTACGAAGAGTAAAACACTCGGAACAACTTCTCCGAAAGCGCATTGAAAAGTAACCCAAGCCTTTTCCACACCAGCCCAGGCCTGGAGAAGAGGGACGCAGTCCCCACGCGTGTCGGGGCGCGAGAGTCGGCAATTACACCCGATTACCTCCGTGGGGAAAAGTGTAAACCAGCAAGTCGGCGACGCGAGGCAGACGTGCCTAGTGGAGCCCTGGGCTCATTTCAATACAATAAGCCGCATTCCTACAATTACACCCTCTTTGCTGAGCTCCTCCAGCGCCTCTGCTAACTCCGGCCGCTGCTGCCCAGGCTCCGTCCCTTCTAAGCTTTCTCCTACACAACCATCTCCGTTTCACCATTAGGCACATTAACTTGGACCCACCAGAGTCCCTATTTTCAATCCCACTTAAAAGGCAGGGAAATTACTGCCGTT